TCTGTCTAAAAAGGAATAAAATATAAAAATAAAGTGTAAGCAGTTAGGTACTTTGTGCACATTGAGGTATGGTGGAGGTTAGCAGCTAATACCTCTGATTCCAGAACATTTTCCTACCCCAAAAAGGAGGCTGCTCCCGCACTACCTCCCCTGCTTCCCCACTCTACATTGGCTTTCAGGACCAATCTGCCTTCTGCCTCTGCGGACTTCCTCTCTTCTGCACATTTGACAGAATGGAGTTGTGTGAGCTTTTAGTCTGGCTTCTCCGGTCCATCCAGGAGTTGCTTAAGGTCTGTGGCAGCCTCTCTCTCTGCCTGGCTGGGTAATGTTGTTCCGTTGTCCGGTGGAGGCCCCACGCTTGCTGCACCTGCAAGGGGCATTTGCAGTGTTCCACCCTTGCTGTTGTGAGTGGTGCCATGGTGAAGGTTTGTGTGCAAGAGTCTGTTTGAGTCTATTTCCCAGTTCTTTTTGAGTGCAAACTAGCAGGAAGTACTGGGTCACGTGGTAGTTCAGGTGATGGGGACCTGCCAGGCTGTTTCTCGCAGCCAAGCCACCTCCCCGCCAGCAGCGACGGGCCCATTTCTTAGCAACTGTGCCAGCAGAATGCTATTTTGATGATCTCCGTCCTAATGAGTGTGCAGCTGTGCTTTGACTGACATTTCTAATGACTGGCGATGTTCAGCATCTTCGCACTTGTCGGCTTCTGTATTTTTGGCCTTCTGCTTCATACCTGAAGTGCAGGCTATGCCTCAGAGCAGAAAAAGGCCGATGTGTAGGTGGTGGTAATGCTGTTATCACTTAGTGCTGCCAGCACAGAAGGCAACTGGGTGCCTAATGAGCCCCGATGACTGATAGGGCCTCTCCCACCAGCCAGGCTCGGGCTGGGAGGCAGAACTGGGGCTGACTGAGCCTCTACTGCCTCCCATCAGGTGTCTGTGCACACAGGTTGTCCAACCGCTCCTCGTCCCTGGGGTGCAGAACTGGAGTGGCAGTTATTGAGTGGCAGCATCCATGCTCTGTGCTTGAGGAACGGAGGCTCCTGAGAGGTGTGGTGCCCTGTTGACGGCTCCCACTGCTGGCCAGCGTCGCAGAAGAGGATTCCAACCTCTCTTGCAGCACACCGGGCCAGCTGGCAGTTAATGCCATGTATGAGAGCAAGTTTGGTAGGACCCTGAGAAAAGGCTTTAGGAAGAGTCACCAAAGTTTTGGTCTGCCCTGAAATCATCCTCTGTGGGCCAGGATGCCGAGGTGGGGACTTGAGGCTAATTTTGGAGAAGAACCTGATTCTAGGAGTTGTTGAATGCTTCTGGAAGTGGTTTCTAGAAATTTCTTTCTCCTCACAAAGAGACTGAGCTCTCTGGGGCTAGGCTTGCCTCTTGTTCCCCGCGCAGTCACTTGCAAGCCCCTTCCCACCAATTCCTGCACTGGCTCCCATGCAGGGCCAGATGTGTCAAACTCAGCAGTGCTGCCTCCGTGGAGGTTCTGCACTCGTTTGGGTGCTGAGTGATATGTGGGTCATGATCTCAACACTGACGCGCGGCGGGCCCCAGTGGGTCGATCCCACCGACGTGCTCACGGCGGGCCCCAGTGGGTCGTGTGTGATAACGTCGGCTGTTACGGCGGGGCCGGGCAGTGTGGTGCTGGTGAGTCACTGGGGCATGGGTGGTGCAGGTGTGAGGAGGGAGGAGCCACCGCCACCTCTGCTTTTGCCACTGGAGATGGGAGGAGATGTGGCTGGCGCAGGAGCTTGGCTTGCGGGCTCTGGGGTGGCGGAGATGCCCGGGTGCACGTGTTGAGCAGCCATCGGGGCGCAGGTCTGCAACTCAGGGAGAGGCCGGGCCGGCAGTCGGCGTGGAAAGAGCGGGACTCGGCTCCCTGCATTGGATCTGCTCGGAGACATGAGGTTTCGAGACCGAGCCTCTAGAAGGAGAGCGCTGAGAGGAATGATGCAGTCCTCAGAGGCTAAATAGATCCTGTAATGGTTTGCTGATTTGTTTCACAAAACTTCCAGGTAGGGGCAGGCAACACAGTAAGACTCTGCCTGCAAAATAAAATTGCCGAGTGTGTTGTGTATCTGTGGTCCCAGCTCCTCTGGAGGCTGAAGTGGGAGGATCGGGCGGAGCCCAGAGGCCGAAGGCTGCAGTGAGCAGATCACACCCTGTACTCCAGCCTATTTGGGATGCTTTTCACTGTCATTTTTCAACCTCTATGAAGACAAGGGGCGACTAGGAAGATATGGAAACCTTGTCCAGCCTACTTCTGGGGGTCATGATGAGACCAAGCTGTTGAATCTTGTGACTTGTTGCCTTGACCTTGCAGCATTTTGCTGAACTCCAGCATGGGAGGAGTTCACTGGGAGGGTGACAGCCCTGTGGTGGAGCCAGTGCTCATGAAGGGTGCATGGGCTTGTCTCAGCTTACTGGGCCTCGGTGGCACTGGGACCTGGAGAATCCACTTAGCCCTCCACCCTCAGCTTCCTTGTGTCCTAACCGGAGATAATAACTGCCTCGGGAAACTGTTGGCAAAGCCCGGAGGCCAGAGGTATGTGCATACCACCAGAGGCCGTAGCATACAACCAGAGCTTTCGTAGCTTCGGTGACCGGTGAAGATGGTGGTGATGGTGATGGTGATGGTGATGATGGTGATGATGGCAGTGATGGTGATGCGATATGGGTAGTGGTGATGACGGATGGTGGTGTGGCGGATGAAGATACTGATGGTGGTGATGATGGTGATGACGGCCATGGTGGTGGGTAGTGTTGAGCATTGATGACGGTGGTGATGATGGTGGTAGTAATGACGGTGGTGATGATGGTGATGACAGTGATGATGGAGATGGTGATGATGATGGCAGTGGTGATGACAGTGAGACAGTTGTGGATGATGACGGTGGTGGTGGTGATGGTATGACAGGTGATGAAGGTGGATGGGTGACAATGACGATGGTGGTGGAGTTGGGGGTGGATGATGACAGGTGGTATAGTGGTGATGACGGTGATTGATGGTGATGACAGTCATGGTGGTGGGTAGTGTTGATATTGATGGTGACGGTGGTGATGGTGTGGCACGGATGGTGACATTTATGATGGTAATGATGACTAGTGGTAAAGGTGATGGTGACAGACAGGAGGATGGTGGTGGATAGATGGTGATGACAGTGATGCTGACAGTGACGGTGGTGGGGGTGGAGGTGGGGTGGATGGTGACAGTGATGATGACAGTGATGGTGACAGTGATGATGGGGAGGTAAGATGGATGGTGATGATAAGTGGTGATGGTGACAGTGACAAATGGGGGTGGAGGGGTGGATGGAGATGGATAGGTGGTGAGGATGGGTGGACAGGAGCAATGATGGTGTGTGGTAGAGGTGGATGGGTGACAACATGGTGATGGTGACAGTGACAATGATAGAGGTGGGGTAGATGGTGACGATGGTGATGGTGACAGTGATGATGTAGAGGTGGGTGATGGTGACTGGTGATGGTGATGGTGACAGGACAGTGATGGTGACAGTGATGATGGGGTGGAGGTGCGGTGGATGCAGACAATGGTGATGGCAGATGTGATGATGGCGTAAGGACAGTGATGATGGTGATGGTGATGACGGTGGTGGTGACAATGACAAAGATGACTAGTGGTGAAGGTGACAGTGACAGTGATGATGGTGGTGACGGGGTGGATGGTGATTTATGAAGGTGATGATGACAGTGATGGTGATGGGAGGTGGAGGGGTGGATGGTGACGATGATTTTGCAGATGGTGACAGCACGATGGGGTGGAGGTGGGGTGGATGGTGACGGCGATGACAGTGATGGTGACAGTGACCATGGTCGGTGGGTAGGAGGTGGGGGCGGATGGTGACGATGATGACAGGGTGGTGATGGGTGAGCAGGACGGTGTGGGGTAGAGGTGGGGTGGATGGTGACAATGATGACGGTGGTGATGGTGACGGGATGGTGGTGTGGTGGTGGTAGAGGTGGGGTGGATGTAGCAATGATGTGGTGATGGTGACGGTGATGATGGTGGTGGTGGTAGAGGTGGGGTGATGAGACGGCGACGGGTGATGGTGACAGGTGGTGGTGGGCAGAGGTGGGGTGGATGGTGACGTATATGTGGTGGTGATGGGTGAGCAGTGATTTATGATGGTGGTGGTGGTAGAGGGGTGGATGGTGACGGCGACAGTGGTGATGGGTGATAGTGACGGCGATGGTGGTGGTGGTAGAGGGATGGTGACGATGACAGTGGTGATGGTGGACGTGATAATGATGGTGGTGGCAGAGGGTGGATGGGTGACATGACGGTGGTGATGTGACGCATTGCGGTGGTGGTGGTAGAGGGGGTAAGATGGTGACGGCGACGGTGGATGGTGATACAGGACGGCGATGGTGGTGGGTGGGGAGAGGGGTGATGGGTGACGCGGCGATTTTGTGGGTGGGGATGGTGATAGTGACGGCGATGGTGGTGGTGGTGAGGGGGTGGATGGGTGGACGATGACGTGGTGATGGGTGGAGGTGATGGCGATGTGTGTGGTGTAGTAGAGGTGGGGTGGATGGTGACGATGACAGTGGTGGTGATGGTGATAGTGACGATGATGGTGGTGGTGGTAGAGGGGTGGATGGTGACGATGACGGTGGTGATGGTGATGGTGACGATGGTGGTGGTGGTGGTAGAGGGGTGGATGGTGACGGTGACAATGATGGTGGTGGTGGTAGAGGGGTGGATGGTGACGATGACGGTGGTGATGGTGACGGTGACGATGGTGGTGGTGGTGGTAGAGGGGTGGATGGTGACGGTGACAATGATGGTGGTGGTGGTGGGGACAGAGGTGGGGTGGATGGTGACAGTGGTGGTGATGCGGTTCCTAATGGGTGTTTTCTTTTCCTCTCTGCATTATCTTCCTGAAAGCAGAGGAGAGAGACTCCTCCCTTGCCTCCCCCTTGCCCAGGATGTCTGTGAGGAGCATTCAGGAGCCTCATTACCACTCCTGGTTTCTATTTCAGGATATTGACTGGGTACAGACAGAGAAGCACGTGTTTGAGCAGGCATCCAGCAACCCCTTCCTGGTCGGATTACACTCCTGCTTCCAGACGACAAGTCGGTAAGAAAAAGAAGGATGTTTCTGATACTCCGCAGATTTCACATTTGAACTGCACAAAAGCTAGGTCTGGTGTGATGTGTCAACTGTTACCTGTAAGGTTCTCCCAGTTGCTGTATGGGTGTTTTCAGGTCAGCAGACTCTCTTTGTTGTTCTCCTTGGTTGGTGTCATATTAAGTACATTTCATGATCTGAGCTTAAGTTATTTAATTCCGTTTACGAAATACTTACTGGAGGTATCCCACTCAGTGCAGGCATTGGGTCAGGTGCTGGGGCTATGAAAGTAAGCAAGAGAGGTGGATTTCTGTGCTTATTAAAGTACATACAGCTTCACCTTCAAGCTTTATATATATATAAGAATCCTGTGGCTTTGAATACGTTTGAAAGCTGGTGATCTAGGACATTGAATGTATGCTCTGTTTAAAATTCTGGGGTCCAGTTGCCTTTGACCTACCTGATTTGTTTGTTTGAAGAGTTGTTGAGTATGTTCTACATCGAGTCCTCAAGCCCATCCCCAGGTTCGACGATTGGCTAGGAGGACTCCTGGGATCAGTCATATGGCCGCACTTGGGGCCACAGCTGGTCTACTACACTGGAGGAATAAGGGAGACTTGGCCAAGGAAAAAGGCACATGGGGAAAATTCCGGAAGAAACCAGTCACCAGCTCCCAAGGGCCCTCTCCCAGTTCCTCCAGCAATGAATTGTGACAACTCAGGGTTTTTGTCAAGGGCTGGTCCTGCAGGCTGCACACGAACCGAGATTCCAGACTCCCAGCGGAGAGTAGCTGTTCAGCATCGCATTGGTCAGGGTTCTCTTGAGAAATAGAACCAGGAGCGTGCGTGCGTGTGTGTGTGTGTGTGAGTGAAGAGATTTATTGTAAGATACTGGTTCACGGGATTACGGAGGCTGAGAAATCCTACAATCCGCCATCTGCAGGCTGGAGGCCCAGGAGAGCCAGTGGCGCAGCTTGAAGGCCTGAGAGCCAGGAGCTGATGAGGTCGATTCCAGTCCGGGTCTGAAGGCCTCAGAGCCAGGAGCAAGGGGGCCAGAAAGTAGATAGCTCGGTGGTCAGGGAAACACAGCCTTCTTCCTCTTTCCTGTTCTCTTTACGCCCCCAGGGGCCTGGACGATGCCGGCCTACTTCAGGGAGGGCCATCTGCTTCTTATTCCAGAAGCACCCTCACAGGCATGCCCAGAAGTCACGGGTAGCCAGCTATCAGGGCATCCTGATCCCATGCCCAGTCAAGGTGACCGTTGAGTTCACCGTCAGGAGCATGAGGCTTCCTGTTCAGGCACACACAGTTGGGGCACAGCTTTTTTTTTTTTTTTTTTAATGTGTTCTTCTTGTTTCTGAGATGGAGTCTCACTCTATCACCCAGGCTAGAGTGCAGTGGCACCATCTCGGCTCACTGCAGTCACCGCCTCCTGGCTTCACGTGATTCTCCTGCCTCAGCCTCCCAAGTAGCTGGGATTACAGGCACCTGCCACCATACCTGGCTAATTTTTGTATTTTTAGTAGCAACAGAGGTTTCACTGTGTTAGCCAGGCAGGTCTTGAACTCCTGACCTCAAGCCATCAGCCCTCTGCAGTCTCCCAAAGGGCTGGGATTACAGGCGTGAGCCACAGTGCCCAGCCTCCAGAGTTTTATTTTTATTTTTATTTTTATTTTTGAGATGGAATCTGGCTCTGTCTCCCAGGCTGGAGTGCAGTGGCCGGATCTCAGCTCACTGCAAGCTCTGCCTCCCGGGTTTACGCCATTCTCCTGCCTCAGCCTCCCGAGTAGCTGGGACTACAGGCGCCCGCCACCTCGCCCGGCTAGTTTTTTGTATTTTTTTAGTAGAGACGGGGTTTTACCGTGTTAGCCAGGATGGTCTCCATCTCTGGTCTCGATCTCCTGACCTCGTGATCCGCCCGTCTCGGCCTCCCAAAGGGCTGGGATTATAAGCATGAGCCACAGTGCCCAGCCTCCAGAGTTTTGTTTTGTTTTTTTAAATAAAATAAAGATAGGGTCTTGTTCTGTCACCCAGGCTGGTCTCAAACTCCTGGGCTCCCACCTCAGCCTCCCAAAGTGCCGGGCTGGGATTACAGCGTCCACCACTCTGCCTGGTGGTCATGCAGAAGCATTTTATATCCGTGTAGGGAACCGTTTGCAGTTCACATTCCCAGCCCCAGCTCCGGGCCAGCTTTGCGGGCCGGGCTTCCCGAGCACAGCGGTCCCAGGCCCTGGGTGTGACTCTCCGCTGCCCGGTTCTAAGCTGTACGTCTGGCTGCTTACACTCCTCCGCTGCACTCTCGGCTCTCCTGACCTCAGGGTCCTGTTCTTGCCTGTGCTCGGCAGCCACCTGTCTGCCTGTCGGAAGAGCCGTTCCCTGACCTGCTCGGCCTGCGGTGCTGCCCTGGTCAAGGGTTGCTGTTTTCTGACTGCTTCCGCCACCTCAGTGTGCTTCACGGTCCTCCGCCCTCCCCACCTGACCCCAGGGCTCCCCAGTGTCAGCTTCCCCATGTTGGGCCTGAGCCATATTTGAGAAGCACGGATCTCAAGTGTCTTTCTCCTGCCTCAAAGCTCCTCTGATTCCTCCCCAGTTGATTTTGGGGTAAGTTCCAAGCTTCCCGTGCGTGTGGATGAGGCTTGTAGTGACCAGGCCCCAGTGCCCCATCGCAGGCCCCAGCGTGGCGCCCCCGCCCACAGCACCCACGCCTGACAGCTCTGTCCCCTTTCCTCCTGCTTCCCTGCTTCCCGGAGCGAGTCAATGCCTCCCTTTGTGCGTTCCCACCGCTTTTCCAGGCCTCTGTCCGCCCCAACTGCCATCCCTTGCAATTTCAGAATGCGCCCGGGGAAGGCAGCCCAGTGCCCCTATGCTTCCTGAATGGTGAGATTCCAAGAAGGGTTTTGTTTGGCTTTGGTTCGTCTTCCTATGTGAACTTGTAGGGATGTAGATGTAAAAGGGGTCTGATACCCCACCCTCACTTTGCCGAGTGGCCCAAAGCACAGCCCCTTCTGCCCTTGTGTCTTTGGACTCTTCTCCCAAGTCACAGGTTCCCAGCTGCGTAAACCCGAACTTAAAGAATTGTCATCTGCGGGGTGTCTGTGGGACCCCCGCAGCGGCACCACTCACTGGCCTGTGGGAGCATTCGGCATTCACATTTGGGAAGAATCTCTATGCGTGCCTAAGTTTTTTGTCCCCTCTTTTTTTTTTTTGAGGTGGAGTCTCGCTCTGTTGCCCAGGCTGGAGTGCAGTGGCCGGATCTCAGCTCACTGCAAGCTCCGCCTCCCGGGTTCACGCCATTCTCCTGCCTCAGCCTCCGGAGTAGCTGGGACCACAGGCGCCCACCACCACGCCCGGCTAATTTTTTGTATTTTTAGTAGAGACGGGGTTTCACCGTGTTTGCCAGGATGGCCTCAATCTCCTGACCTCGCAATCCACCCGTATCGGCCTCCCAAAGTGCCGGGATCACAGGCGTGAGCCACCGCGCCCGGCTGTCTGTTTTTATGTTAGCTGAATCTGTCAGTGACTTCCGGAGTATCTGACATATGGTTGGTCAGGATCACAGGTGTCACCCCGGCTGTTGGGAGCCTGCTTTAGCCCCAAGGTTAGCTGTAGATCTGTCTCCCCATGAGAAGTGAACTCCCGAAGAGTGGGGCTGTGCGGTCTGTTTTCCAGTCCCCAGCACTTGGCTGACACCTGGCACTTAGCAGCAGTGGTATTAGATGACGATCTCTTAAAAAAAAGTGACATCGTTTGTCACACAAATAGGAGACGGACGTGCGTCAGATTGTATGTGGCTCTAGTGAACCTGAAGACTAGTAAGATGTTCCAGCTGCTCAAAGGAGACTTCAGAGTCCGCACAGACACGGGCGATCAGGGCGCTGAGGCAGAGTTACAGAGAGAAGCAGAACTGGCGTGGGGGCCAGCGAGAATCCGTCCCCCTTCACGGACCGGCCTCGTTTGCTCGTCTGCCTTGCTTGCACTGTTGTCGGTTGCGTGCATCTTACCAAGTTGGAAAGATGAAACCCCAGAAGACCCCATAGAAACAGATAACCAAGAAGAGGGTGTGTGCGACAGCTCCGAAGCCTTTTACCGTTTTTCCTGACGACAACACAGCCAAGGTCCGGGCGCACATGCCTGTCAGCTCTGCAGCTCCACATCACGTGGCCCTCGGCACCCCCGTTTCCTCCCTGGAAACAGAACAGCAGAGATGCCTGTGCCCTGTCCCCTGTCCCCTGTCCCCTGCAGCTGCTGTGAGGATTGGTAAAGCTGGGGCTCAACCATTTACAGCAAGGCGGGTGCATGGGAACCCGCTCCCTCATCGTGAGGCCTTTCTTCTCGTTGGCACGGTGTCTTTGAACAAATAGACAGGTGGTGTCGTGCGTGAGCTCCGGGTTGAGGGGAGGACGGGCAGCTGCCTCAGTCCAGTAGCTGGGGGGCTGTGAAACCTGCTCACAAATCCTCACTGACTGCACAGCACCAGACACCCACATGAAGCAAAGCCAACCTCGGCAAGGCGGCCATGTGTCCGGGTGGCGGAAGTCTGGCCTGGCCCAGGTGGGTGTGCTTGGCTGCTCCACCTCTGCTCCGTGGTCACTGGAGGTGACTGCAGGTTTTACGGGGACTTTCTCTCTGTGTGTTGGTTCTGCTGGAACGTCCAGCTGAGGTTTCACATGGGCCTCTTGCTGAGGGCCAGGTGAGGGACACGCAGGACAGGACACCCATTCGCTCTGGGCAGCCTTACAGCTCCCAGGCCACATCCAGGGGATACCTGGCAAATGAAACTGCAGAGGTTTCCTCGCAGGTTTGGTTCCCATAAAGGGTCTGTGAGTGGGGAAGAATCAGAATCGCTTTCTTTCCACCCCAGATCTGGTTGTGCCTCTTCTGGCTGGCCATGTTCGTGTCCACTGGGTGGCTACAGGGAATCCCTGAATGTTACAGTTCAACATTAATCTCACCTCGTGTGTACAGGTGGAGAGAAACAATTCATTCGCATTTTTAAGACACAATAAACAC